GATGTGGCTCGGATACATTCACAGTAAAGGGCTTTCAAAATTGGAAGAAAGTTAATAGTGGGAAAGAGTGTGCATTTTTGTGTCATATGGGGAAGGATTCTAATTCAACCCATAATTTTGCAACAAAGTGCTATTTTAATCTTAAAAACCAATCTTGTCACCTTGAAAAAATTGTAGAAAAACAAAATGCTGAGGAAATAGTTAGAAATCGGTTACGCCTTAAGACATCAATAGATGTTGTTAAGTGGTTAACATTTCAAGCTTGTGCATTTAGAGGACATGATGAGCGTTCTAGCTCGATTAATCAAGGGAATTTTTTGGAGATGTTAAAGCTTTTGGCATCATATAATAAAGAAGTTGATTCTGTTGTTTTGGACAATGCCCCAAAGAATGCTAAATACACATCTCCACTAAGCCAAAAGGAGATTCTACATGTGTATGCTAGTAAAGTGAAAAGTACTATTCGTAAGGAAATTGGTGATGCTAAGTTTTGTTTGATTGTTGATGAATCTAGAGATATTTCTAAAAGGGAAAAAATGGCTCTTGTCGTGAGATATGTGGATAAAAGTGGCTTTGTGAGAGAACGCTTCTTAGACTTGGTTCATGTTAAAGACACAACTTCCAAAACTTTGAAAAATGAGATTTGTGCAGCTTTATCTCATCATGATCTAAGTCTTCAAAATGTAAGAGGCCAAGGGTATGATGGTGCGAGTAATATGCGTGGAGAGTGGAATGGGCTACAAGCTTTATTTATGAAAGAGTGTCCTTATGCCTATTACATTCATTGTTTGGCTCATCAATTGCAGTTAGCACTTGTTGCTGCAGCAAGGGAAGTGCCTCAAATCCATACCTTCTTTCAACAATTGATTTTTGTTGTTAATGTGGTTACAAGCTCTACTAAGCAACACGATGAGTTACAAGCGACTCAGTTGGCAGAAATTCAACATCTAGTTGAAATTGAGGGTCTTGAAACAGGAAAGGGTCTTAATCAAATTGGTACATTACAACGACCTTGTGATACAAGATGGAGCTCACATTACAGATCAATATGTAGTTTGCTAAGAATGTATCGTGCTTCTCGGTCCGTTCTTGCTGACATTGCTTCTGAGGGAACAACATATGATCAAAGAGGTGATGCTCTAAATGGATTCAAGTTGTTAATGCCATTTGAATTTTTGTTTAACTTACATGTGGTGAAGGGGATTATGGCCATTACTGATGGGCTTTGTCAAGCTCTACAATTAAAGACCCAAGATGTTGTGAATGCAATGCACTTGGTCTCCACTACAAAGACATTACTTCAAAATTTGAGAAATGATGGTTGGGTGAGTTTGTGGTCAAATGTGAGACAATTTTGTGAGATATATGATGTTGCTATTCCTGACATGAATGCTCCTTACTTTGATGTGATGAAATCTATTAGGCGACAATCAAGACAAAAGGACATTGTGACAATGGAACATCATTACCGGGTGGATATATTCTTTGCTGCCATAGATCGACAATTGCAAGAATTAAACACCAGGTTCAGTGAACGAGCTACCGAGCTTCTTATTTTGAGTTCAGCCTTGAACCCCATAGATGGTTACAAATCATTTAATATTGAGCATATTTGCAAGCTAGATAGAGACTTCTATCCTAAAGACTTCTCAGATCAAGAGAAAGAACATCTAAGTTATGAATTGCAGCACTACAAGCTTGACATTCCTATTCATCTTGAGTTGAAGAACTTGTCCACTCTTGGTGATTTGTGTAGAGGATTGGTGACTACTGAGAAATATAAATTGTATCCTCTTGTTGATAGGTTAATTCGCCTTGTATTAACTCTCCGTGCATCCACCGCAACAACTGAGAGAGCTTTTTCAGCAATGAAGATTGTGAAAACAAACCTTCGAAGTAAAATGGAAGACAATTTTTTGAGGGACTACTTGGTGGTGTATATTGAAAAGGAGATCGCAGAGACACTTAGTGAAGATTCCATCATAGATACCTTTTACATGATGAAAGAGAGGCGAGCACAGCTCAAATGAAGTTTATAAAGGTATGTTTATATACGGAATTTTTCAAAAGTTTATTGTTAAGTATATTCCTTTAATTTTGCTATAATTTCTTAGAAGTTTAAGTGTGGAAACTTTTTGAGAATATTGGTTGTAATTATAATATGATTTCGGTATTATTAGTATTTGTTCTTCTTCGGTCCCCGCCTTGTTTATATCCTGGTTCCGCCCCTGCCAGAAATACAATCCTCATCTATTCTGTAGAGCATTCTTAAGCACTGATGTGAAGACTGATGCAATAACAAGCAACATTGCAGAAACTTTCAATGGATTCATCATAAATGCAAGGACAAAACATCTGTTATTCATGCTTGAGGAGATTAGAAGTCAATTGATGCAGAGAATGGTGAAAAAAGGCAAGACATGGAAAAGACAACTACCTATCTTTGTCCTAGAATACAGTCAAAGCTTGACAAAGAGAAAAATAAGGCAGCCTACTGTGAAGTTCTGCCCTCAACTGACACTCTATTCAATGTGTCTTACAACCTTGATCAGGTGGTTGTAAACCTTGAGGTAAAGACCTGCACTTGCAGGAAATGGGACATGCTTGGCATTCCCTGTTGTCATGCTGTAGCATGTGTTTTCTTTGCCAACAAGGAAGCTGAGCAATTTGTTCATCCCTGTTACAGGAGAGAGGTTTACCTAACATCATATGCAGGTAACATGGTTTCTTTAGCTAGTTTATAAGAATTGCATGGTGTTGTTGCTAACTGATGTGGTTATGGTACAGGTTCAATTCCACCCCTTGCTGGAGAGAGGTACTGGCCTAAAGTAGCCCTTGCATTGGACCCACCCCCAATCAAAATAGGTCCAGGAAGGCCTAGGAAGAATAGGATCACAGATCCTTTTGAGAATCCAAAGAAACATGGTTCCTTGATAAAAACTGGTGTTGAAATGACTTGCACAGTTTGCAAAGTTAAGGGGCATAATAAGAGGAGGTGTCCAAATAGGGACACAACAATCCAATCTGAGCCACCTGCTAAAAGAGCAAGGGGAAGACCAAAGAAAAATGGAGAGCAACCCCATTCCACTGTATCTGCACCATGTGAGCCTCAACTGAACACAACTGCTGCAGCACAACACCATACTGTCACAGCACAGCCTACACAGTTAGGAAGAGGGGGAAGAGCTATCAGAGGAGGAAGAGGCTCCAGGGGACAGGGAACAAGACCATCTTCTTCTGCATCTGCACCAACTGGTGGCTCAGGGAGGGGACAGGGAAGAAGTGGCAGAGCCAGAGGTAGGGGAAGACATCAATTGCCTAGAGGAATTGGTGTTTTAATTGGAAATGATGGGTCTTTAATCACAGAGGTTAGGAACAACTGAACTTTGGTGAATTATTGTTGTTTGTGATGCATAATTATTTGTTACTAACTACATTCTAATTCATGTCTCAGTTAAGGAATGCAAGGTCAACTGGAAGACCAATGACCAGGTCAGTCAACCAGCTAGGTCAGTCAAGCCAGCAATCCACCCTTCACCAAGGAACACAACCTTAATGTTTTAAGATTACAATTTGAGGTAGTTGTAGTAAACTTTTGGTACATGTGTGTACAAACTGGATGCTTAAGTAGTGTATGTTGGGAGTGGCAGCATTTTGCTTTAGTTTAGCTTCCTAACTAAAGCCTAATTTTGACAGCAACTATGCTGTTTAACAGTGATATTTGGATTTGGATGTTATGTTGTGGTGACTTATATAATTAGATGCATGTTTATATGACTATTATGGTGACATGATTGCAAAATTTATAGAAAAACTAAGATCTGCATTTTATTGATCAATGTCATTGTTACAAGATCCACCATAACCTCTTAACATTACATTACCCCTACTTCAAGTACACAACAACTATGCCAAACAACAACCATGAGAAAAATAGAGCCATTAACAACTGAGTCTCAGTCCTTGATGCCTTTACAAGTTGCATCCTAAGTTGACAGAGTTCTTTTTTCAACTCTTTCACCAAATCTTCCAATTTCAGTTTCTTTCCCTCCAATTTCTTCACTCTATCTTCAAATGAACTCATATGGAGCTCCATTTCTGCAATAGTTGTATCCTTCTCAAATATTTGAAAGCGTAGATCTTCCTCCACAAGATTACAATCAACCCATTTCATAAAATTACAATTGGTTTCCTGCACATCCAAACACAACAATTTAGTCATAAATTACAAGTTCAACCCTAATTCAAACAAACTAAAATTCGAGTACCCAACAATGAAATTAAACAACCCAACTACACATACTGGCCATTTCGGACATCCATAAAACTTAGCCCCAATATTATGGCCCCTTTTGACTGTTCGAACCACCGCAACCATTCCGCATGAACATCTAGTTCTTGGATATGTCCCTCCCCTTGTGTTCGAAGATGAGCCAGAAGAACCGCCAGCCATTAAAGAAAAAGAGTGAGGAAATAGGATTTCGATTTTATTTGAAGGACAAATTACAATTACAATTACAAAAAGGCCTAATTTTGAAAGGGGAAATTTGAAGAAGAAGAGTGATGAAACAGGGGTTGCAACGGCTAAATTTGAGGGAAATAAATAGCAAAGGGGTATTTTGTTTACCGTTTTTTTTTAAAAAAAGGAAAAATTAAATTTATTTTGCAACAGCTCCACGTCAGATTAAACCGGGTACAATAGGTTTGGTAACCTGTTGGACCGGATAAAAAAAAAAGGGTACTAAAGTTGGGATTAATCAGTAATAACTGAAAGTTGGGATTAATGAAAGAAAATGGGTGAAAGTTGGGATTAATAATTACAAATTTTCCTATATTTTTTACAAAATACTATGTTCTTTACAAAACAACGTCATAGTTATATATTCTGCGCATTTTTTTGTCTGTATCAAGCAACATGCTTTACCTTAAAATTTTCAGGCCAACGATTCTCTCCCAGTTACCACGGTCGCCGGTCGGGATTATAACAAATAATAAGAATGTAAGTTTACATTATACATATACGGATTACGGAATGCCGTATATTCAACGCCAACGTTGACTAAAACCGAGTGAAGAAATCGAGATCAAATTTTCTCTCTCCTCTCTCGCCTGAAATTGCCAAGTGAAGCAGCAGCAGCATAACAATGGCGATTTTATCGAGCAAAGGTTGGACCAGCTCCAGAATTTCCACCATTGCTTGTCGCGTCTTCTTCTTTGTCATCTTCCTTCAGATCCCTCTCTTCAAGTTCGTTACTCTCTCTCCCCAATTTTGCAATTTTCTCCTGCGCATTTCTCAATTCGCTAAATCTGCAATTAATTTTTTCCGATTCTACTCAATTCGCTAAATCTGCAATTAATTTTTTCCGATTCTACTCAATTTTAAACCAAATCAGTTGTTAAATTTGATGAAACAGTTTAAGATCTTGTTTCTTCGTTAATCTGCATTTGTGCTGAATTATTAATGCTTGCAATCGATTCAATTTGAAGAATGTATTTCTAAGCTGTAATTATTGACGTAATTTGCATTAATTTTGAATCCGGTAGACTTTCTGCATATAGAGCTGAATTCTACCTCGTTGTTAGGATAATTATTACTTGAATCGGGAGAATTCATGAGTTTTACTGATTGTTGATACATTATCACTTGAATCGGAAGAATTTATTAGTTTTACTGATTGATTAGTACTGTGTTCTGATTGGCTTGATTATATGTTTTGTTTGCAATGAATGATTGAATGCTAGAAATAACGGCACAAAGAAAATCTGTGATCATTGGATTTGCTTAGCAGTGCTATGATTTAAGATAGTTTGGTAAATTGGCCATCATTAATTCATTATGGTGTTGAAAAAGTTGGATGTTAGAATATTGTTGTATCATCTACGGTCTTCAGTAGCAATAATGTATGTTTGGAAGAGTAATAATAACTTATCTCAAGGATGAATATGGACATTATTGAATTCGATTAGTTTAATGTAGGAATTGGATTTGATTCGTTATGTGTGGAAAGCATGATTTAAAGCGTTCATGTTGGACTTGACGTTTCTGAGATGTCTCTTGAACATGCTTATTGTGCTGTTGTATGGGTTTTGTAGTAGCTGTATTTGTTTGGTTCTTAAATTGTACAATGTTTTGCAGTTGCTATCTATGGTGACATTTATTTCTCCTTTTTTTGTTATCCATGAGTTAAGAGAATTGGATTTGAATTCGTCATGTATGGAAAGCTTGGCTGAGTATGTTCACGCTGGGCTTGACTATTGCGAAATGATTTCATGCTGTATGTTTTAATAATAGTAATAATTATAGTTGGTTCTTTACTTCCTATACAATGTTTTGCAGCTGCAATCCATGGTGGCTATTATTCCTATGTTTTCTGCTTCTTGAAATTGATGTTTAACCATCAGTATGGTTAATTTTATTTCGTAGGAGAATATTTAAATAGATCATAGCCTACATGCTGTAATTAAATTTTCATCTGATTGCTTCTATTGATCCTCATAATCATGCGTACTACCCCATATGCTCTTAATTGATTGCAACATATCTATTTCATGGACTCCAATGCAAACTTTGGCCATTAATGTCTATAACTATTTTTTTAAAGATTATATAAAGTCAATCTTTATACCTTAATTCGAATCTAACAAGACTTACTGATAATAAAAAATTTGCGGTCGAAGTGTGTAAAATTTGAACACCATAATAGGTTGTAATCAGTCAAGGACGGACGAGGTCCCTTCATTTTTATGATCATTTCCTACATGCATTTCCTTATGCCACAAAGAATTATATTGTTGGTGCCAAACTATTTGAGGTTGTTGGTCTTTGCTTGCAATCTTGCTCTTATGAAATATTATTTGTAGTTGTTTATTATGAAAAAGGAAGGTATTTAAATGTTATTACTTTGATGTATATCGGTATATGTGTCAGACTTATTAATTTAAATTTGGTTACTGAAAAGAACTTATTAAATGGAGACTTGCAAAATAATGTTGGTGAAACCATTTAGAACAGTACGTTATTGGATCACTGTAGCTATTATGTTACTTTTTTCCTAGGAATATGACTATCTCAGCTGTCCTTAACTTTTCGTTTATATATTTGTAGAGTACCATGCAGATCTGGTATGTGCACAACCCCAGTTCACGTGACATCTTCTCAATTAATTGCCAGTGATATCATTCCTGTACCGGTTGTAAAAACCCTTCTTTTTCCTGGAGCCGTGGTACATGGACTTGTCAAAAATTTGACAGTCCCTAGCTGGAACAATCTCGTGGATATCTACAATCTAACTAGCGTCAAAGATGCCCCTGTTGCACTTGATTTGAAGCGCTTAGAGGTACAAATTAATAATCTATCTTCTATATGTCAATTATAACCAGGGAAATTTTAAGATGTTATACATGCTAGATTGTTCTCAGATATCAGTTGCTGAAGTGATAGTCAAGGCTATTTTCTCGAATATTGTAACTGTTGGTTTTTGTTTGCTGTCCTTTGAATCTTGGGCTTTGTTCTTTATTGGTCTATCTGAAACTTGGGTACAAATGCCTGGAAAAACCTTCATGATCTTCAGTTTAGGATTCTATGGTTTGTCCACATGCTCCTTTCTTGTTTAAATAGTTATTTTCAAAATAGAGTAGAATTCAACCATATGAAAAGTTCCCTTTTCAGCCCCATTTCTCAACTTTCTGCTTGAAAAAATAGTTGCTGCTACACCTAGTCCATATATTTGGCACCTTGTAATATGTTTTCAATTTCTACATGTCTAAACATCATAGTAATGGAAAAAAGGTGATTGGTATGTCAGATGAGTACTTTGCACAGTTCGCACCATATGCAATCTGGTGATTTGATGGTAATACATTACAGTATTATGCAGTTTTGATGCATACGTCACATACGTGAGAACAGTTTTGCAACTGTGCTTTGTTCAGTACATTAGAATTGAGTAATCTTGATTCATTTAGGGTAAGGTTGCCTACATCTTGACTCAATTCAATGTTTCAGACATTTATTTTGGTGTGTTTGTGTGTGTGTTTGGGGGGGGGGGGGGGTTCTGTTGAATTTGTTTCGCTGGAAAAACTCAAGACATTGTTTCCTTCTGCTAATTGGCAAACATCTATCTATGGCAGTTTCTTTTATAGAAGGGTATGCATGGATGTCAAATGTTAATTGTAATGCCATACATACCTCTGACGAGCAGTTTATGTATTCATTATCTTCATTACCTTGCCCATTGCAAGAGTTTAGCTTTATAAATTCCCTTCTGGATTCAGTTAAGTACCAAGCACTCTGTGATAAGGCCATCAATTTTTTTTTTAGCTACATTAGTCTCCTCCCCCCCCCCCCCCTTTCATGTGTCGTGGCCGTACCTGACTAGGAGTATGTTAAGACATTGTCTGCTCCTTGATTGTAAGCTATGCATATTGTGAGTTAGTCAACACAATTTAAAGATTCTGTTAACACGCTTTTATGATAATAGAGCAGGCTGGTAGTAATTTTTTTGTTGAATTTCTTATTAGAGTCTGGTTTTCTCTTTGCTAGTCTTTTGGACACAACCCTCTTGCTTTTCTACTAAGGATCTTGGAACATTATACTTGACTTAGGCAACTGTGTGTGCATGATTGAAACCTTGTTCATACCAGCACTCGGCACTATGATTTCTAGAAATATGAGTACACTTATGCACATCAGAGCTTCCCCCATATTGCTGTTGGATAGGGTCCGAAACAGAACACTCTGTGAGAGAGAGATTAGATGCAGCATTATATTCATTGATTTTTTTTTTTTATGCTGTACATACTTATAAATTTGTGTCTAGAATACAATGACAATATTTTCCTGACTAAGCTTTCTTGGGCTGTTTTTTTTTTTTTTTCGTAATTCTTAAGCTAATTTGCTTTCTGAACTGGTATTCAAATGCTATCTTAGTGATCTATGCCTTCAGAGAATTGATAGTTTTCGGCAATTTCAATAACTCAATATTAAGATGATATGGATGTAGCCTGTACTTTTCTTGACGATATTAATGGTGTTCAGTTTGTGCTTTTGTACAATATTGGACTTCTGGTTCTCTTTTGTGCCTTAATTTTCCTCCAAATTTTAATGATCTGGAACTTGTTTTAATGATCTATTTTCGTGAACTCCTCAGGTTTTGGCAGGTAGCTACTTCTGTGTGGCAGGTGCTTTAATCGGCATTCTGAAACCAGGAAGAATGAGCATGTTTGGCACACTCCTGATAGTTTGGGGTCTGGTCAAGGAAGGAATCCTTGCACGACCGGCAAACACAGATCCTACACAATCTATCTATGTCTATCCTACGATGCTGCTCGCCCTTGTATGTGCTTTCGCATCTGTCAAGTATGATATTAAGAAGGCCATGAGAAAACCTGCTCCTAGACCCACTGCAAAACCTCTTCAGAGCTCTTCAAAGTCCAAGCTGAAATGAGCTATCCTGTAAACCCACATTACCCTGTTTCCTCTTGCTTCCATGTCTTATGAGCACGAACTTGCTTGTTCAACTTTCTACTGTTCTTCATTAGCGGATTCTTTGTTTTGACGAGAGAGTTGGATCCAGAGTGGAACAGTTAAACAGATACGAGGTTTTCATTTTCCCACATCGTGTTGAAAGAAGATTGGAAAAAACAGACCACATCGTGATGTTGAAATGAATTTCCGCAGCCTCAAGCAAACTTTCACTTGAATATTGTTGGCATGTTATGTCAAAGCATTTGGTGGGGTGGGGGTTCTTGAAAAAACTTGTGTGGATAATTTCATTTCGTTACTTTTTGATTCCTTTGAATGCACTCAAGTTTAATGAGTTGAAGTTTGTTCTTGGCTTTATGCTGCTGCTCCTAAAATGCAGGCCAGCTTGCTATTTTTTTAATTGCAGGACCTATAACTCTATAAGTACTTTCAATTTACAAGGCCTACCAGTATTGTGGAGATTAAGTTCACTTGTTGGGAAAGGAAGTTGCATTATTTTTGTCCCTGACAAAAATTATACTCGTACTACATATTTCGCATAAATTTACAAAGAAATTTAAATGTAATACGGACTAAATATTTCTTTTCAACAAAGCTATGATTGGCTTATTGATCATTTTCAACTAATCAACTATCATTTATTTGAACAAAACCAACATAAGATATTTTATTAGTTGCTAATTTTTACATGTACTTCTGTTTCTTACTTGTATTATTTACAACAAAATGATATTATTTGTGAAACACAAAATATTCTTTTAATCCCATAAAAAAAAAGTTATTTTATTGCAAATAAATTTAAAATTTTTGTTACCTTAAAAGTACAATTCTTACACCAAATTAGCTATTTGGTCTTGCTTTATTACCCCTTTCCACCCAAGTTTTGCACTTTTACTTTGTTCCTTACTTCTCCAATAACTCTTTCAAGTTAAAAAAAAATAAATAAAGTTTGATGCTGAAGTATGAAAGTTCCCTTGAAGGTGACTGGAAGTTGGAAGGAAATGGAGCTTTCGAATCAACTTTTTCGATTTTAAGGTTATAAATATCTGCCTTCTCAAAATTCAAATTAATTACAAATTCTACAAATTTCAGGTGGTTTATTAAGTAGCAAACAATTCAACTTCATTTCAATCCAACATCAATTTTGGTAAGTTTATTCTCCTGCAATTATTCAATTTCAGTTATTATTCTTATGAAATTAATGTTCTGCATTCGCCATTTCTTCTTTTTATCTGACATTCACCTACCTGAACTTATTGGAATTTATTTGAGCTTACTATTGAAAATAATCTATATATACTGTAGCTGTAAATCAATTTTTTTTTCTTTGATGATAAATTTTTTTATGCAAATATTAAAGTATTGAATGAGTAGGTTGTCCTCTTTACACTTGAGATGTGTTCATAGTTTTTAATTTAAATCAGAACACTGTTTCTTAATTTTTGAGTATGAGTTCACAATTCGCTACCTAATTTGTTAAATTAGTCTAAAAATTAACAATTTGGTAACATAATTTGCCAGTGTATTGATGGGTTGGGTTACTTGGGTGAAGATCCCAGCTAAATACTTGTACTCTTAGGGCAGTAGGATTATCTTTAATAACTGGTATTCTCAACATCTCTTGTTTATTTGGTGATTGAGTTTTATAAATTTCGGAGTAAGGGCCTGTTCTGATTTACTGAGTTGAGCTGAGCTGAACTGAATTGTTTATGAGAGAAGGAAATTAGGAATCGAACTGAATTGAATTAAGCTGAAGAGAACACGCCCTAATTCATTGGCTAATTTTCAAGGACCGTCTTTAGTTTTTTTTTGTTGAGATGGTCATTTCTTTGATGATATTTTCTTAGAGATAAGTTGAGAATCAGGGATTATATTCAAGAAAATGAAAACAAGTGTGTTAGTACGATATGCACTTGAGCAAGTAATGGGAGTTCAGATGGTTAAAACTTTCCGCAGTCTTGAGTTAAAGGCTCATTCGGAAAAGGGGCAGAGGGTTTATATTCCCTACAACAGGGACACAGGTTGTTATTGTATTAAACTTTGTGTAATCATTAAGTGTAGCGGGTGCCCTTTACGTTGTACAATAGGAGCAACATACAGATGATTCAGTATTCAAAAGCAAACTGTAGAATCCTCACTTTGGTGAATTTAGGCCCCTTCTTGATAATTCATAGATTTGTTGTAGAATCCTCACTTTGGTGAATTTAGGCCCCTTCTTGATCAACTTCTACATTTGTTTATTACAGGATGACAAAAATAGAACAAACTTGATAAGAGATGTGGATATATTAAGATTAGTACAGTATAATGCCTGTCTTTCGATGTTTGCTGTTTTCTGATCATAGGCTTGGGCAGCCTGGTCTTACCTGTAACGTGAGAAATTCGTGTGATTTTTTGTTGAACTTTATGTAGAGGAAATTATTTTTTAATAGTGAGCAACCCAGTAAGCCTTTATACAAATCAAAACGTAAGAACCAAAAATAGCTTGAGCTGGAGAACTTTACTTGTCTCACTGCCTCTTTTCCTTTTGCTAGGAAAAAAATAAAATAAAGGAAAGCATGGGTGATCTTAGCAAATGGGTGTCTAATTCATTACTGCACAAGCTTGAATCATTGCCAACAGTTTCCTCAAATTGTTGCATCTACAGAGTCCCTGAAAATCTTCGAAAGGTAAATGAGGATGCTTATCGACCTTTGCTTGTGTCAATTGGCCCAGTCTACTACGGCGATCCAAAGCTGATAGCTATGCAAGAACAAAAATTGAGGTACTTGCAATCTTTTCTTCTCCGATCCACCTCTTACAAGTTAGATAATTATGCTGAAGTTATAAGAGGATGGGAAGAGGTAGTTCGCCAAAGTTATGTTGAGACTATAAACCTACTTAGTGAACATTTTATTGAAATGCTGCTCATTGATGCAATATTTATCATTGAGCTCTTCTTGAGGAGTTGTTTCCATGAGTTTATAGATGAAAATGACCGTATATTCAACAAACCAAGGATGATCTTACAAGTCACTCGAGATATAAGGCTAGAAGAAAACCAACTACCTTTTTTTCTTCTCAAGGGTCTTTACGACCTTGCCTTCAGGCCCTCTTCACAAAATAACCAACTTCCTTTCCTTGATATTACTTATAAATTCTTCATGGGAAAAGATGAAGTTGTTCCTCCAAGGATAGCAAGTGCAGATGTAAAACATCTGGTTGATTTTTTGAGAATATGTTACCTTCCTTCTGCCTCTCGGGATCAGTTACCTAATACCAAGCAGAACTTTGAGTTTACTTCAAGTGTAAGTGAACTAAGTGAAGCAGGAGTCAAATTTGTGACGAGCCAAAGTAAGAATTTACTTGACATACGATTTGTAAAAGGGGTTTTGGAGATTCCGAAGATTGTGGTGACAGATGATACAGAATCGTTGTTTCGGAACATCATGGTATTCGAGCAATGTCATTATTACTTTGACTCTTACATCATTGACTATTTTGCGTTCTTGGATAGTTTGATCAACACCCCAAAGGATGTGGCCATACTTGTTCAAAGTGGGGTGATTGACAACTGGTTAGGGAATAATGAAGAAGTGGCAAATCTTTTTAGCAAGATCTTCAAGCAGACGGGGCTAAAAACTTCAAAGTTCTATTACTTGGGTATATGTAACGATCTCAATGCATATGCTGGTACTCAATGGAATAGATGGAGGGCCATACTCAAGCATGACTACTTCAGCCATCCTTGGGCTGCTATTTCGGTAGTGTATGCAATTGTAATGTTGATTCTAACCGTTCTACAAGTTGTAACCGGCTTCAAATAAGTAGTTAGCTTGTGATTGTTGCAATTGGAAAGTTGGAGACTTTGAATAAATAGCTTGTGATTATTGCAATTGTGATTTGATTCTGTCTTTGGTTTTATTATAGCATTAAGAGAAGCAATGCTATGACCCATATACAGATGCTCCAAAAATTGTTCTTGCCTATTTACTTCAAAATTCACAATGGGATTCTTTATAACAGAAAGGGTACAATATGATGAAGTGTTGCAGCAGCATCACCAGTATACATTTCCCCTCAATAGAGGAGCTAAACCCTGTACAGTGTACAGGCTCTGCCTCGCTAACTCACCGTTATCAGGTGACAGCAGATCCTGTCAAAAGAATCAGTAGTTGTCTAGACGGAAAGCTACTGAGAGAATTGGTACATCTGGCTTATACTTGATAGATGGCAATCTATTTATTTGGTCATTTGTCCCACCAAATATGATCACAACAATGAGTCAATGAGTTTCGCCTTATTTTGAAGAATAGTTAGAATGTTAGATGCTGAAGTTGGCTGGTAGCTGGAAAAGGACCTTCGTATCTAACTTTTTTGTTGTTAAGGTTATAAATAACTGCTTCTTACAAATTCTATGAAATCAAGTGAGTAGCAAACGATTTAACTTCATTTCAACCCGTCAAAAAAAAAAAAAAAAATCTCATTTCAGCCCAACATCAATTTTGGTAAGTTTATATTCTCCTGCAATTATTCAGTTTCAGTTATTATTCATATGAAATAGAATTGATGTTTGATATGTGTTCTTTTCTCTGGATATCCCTTATTTGAATTCATCAGAAATTATTTGAACTTATTACTTTAGAATTTATAATATATTGCATTGTTTTTTTTTATAAATGACATTTTGATGCAAGTATTGAAGTATTGGTAGAGTGAATGGAGTACTGAAGTATTGGAATTGTTCATCCTTTTTAAAATTAAATTGGGGGATCAGTTTTACCTAATTTGCTTGTATGAGATTTAGTACGAGTTCACAATTCGCTACCTAATTTGTTAAATTGGGTTGAAAATCACCAATTTGCTAGTGTACAGTGTAGGGATGACAATGGGTCGGACTCGGAGCGGATTATGCTAAATCCGACTCAGACTTCAATATCCGACCTCCGACTCCGATTTCGATCCGACCCGACTCCGAGTTTTTTTTTTTCATTATTCAATATACTTTGAGATGTTGGGCTATTTGGGCCTTTACAACCCACACCCAATGCCACTATGACCCACACAAAAATCCACTATCTATTGGAGTTGGAGTCGGATAATCCGTCAAAGTCGGACATTTGTCGGAGTCGGATTTTTTTCTCGGATTTTTTGTAGGATCCGACTCCAACCCTCCTCGATTCGGAGTTGGATTATTTTAACGGAATCGAACTTGGATTACTTTTTTCTCGGACTCGGAGCGGATATTTTACCTCGGATCAGGGCGGAGTAGGGTCGGATCCGGACGGGATTGCCATCCCTAGTACAGTGTACTGCACTATCTAATTTGTTAGATGTACTGAGTGTCTGGGTTCCATTGTGTGTATTGATGGATTGAGTAAATAGTTGGGTGGAAATTCCAGCTAAATACATGAAAAACAGTAGAAATATATTTAGATTCTGTACTCTCACAATCTCCTGTTTATATGGTGAATTATGGAGTAATTAAGTGGCTAATTGTCACGGACCAACTTTACTTTATTTGTTGAGATAGTTGTTTATTTGTTTAGTTTTTCTGAAATATAAGTTGATAATCCGATCCTTTAGCTAGTGATGGTAGTTCAGATGGTTTAAACTTTTCGTGGTCTTGAGTTAAAGGGTCATTCGGAAAAGGGGCAGGGGGGTTTGGATGCACTATGGCAGGGATACAAGGTGTTATTGTATTTAACCTTGTGTTATTGTTGAGTGTAGTGAGTAGATGATTTAGTGTTCGAAAGCAAACTGTAAGAAAAGAAATCAGCTAATATCAGAGTAGAATACTCACTTTGGTGTGACTTTGGTGCATTTTAGTCTCCTTTTACTTTTGATCAAGTTGAGCTTTAATTTGATAGTGAACAACTCGGTAAGCCTTTAAACAAATCAAAAAGTAAGAACCGAAAAAAGAAAGAAAAAGAAAAAAGTAAGGAGTATATTTGAGCTTGGATCTGGAGAACCTTAATTGTCTCACTGCCTCTTTTCATTTTGCTAGGACAAAAATAAAATAAAGGGAAGCAGGGCTAATACCAAACGGGTGGCTAATTCAATACTGCACGAGATTGCATCGTTGCCAACAGATTCCTCAAATTGTTGCATCTACAAAGTCCCTGAAGATCTTCGAAAGGTAAATGAGGAGGCTTATCGACCTTTGCTATTGTCAATTGGTCCAGTCTACTACGGTGATCCTAAGCTGATATATATGCAAAAACAAATATTGAGGTACTTGAAATCTTTTCTTCGACGATCCACTCCTGACAAGTTAGATATGTACGTCGACTCTGTAGCAGGATGGGAAGAGGTAGTTGTTAAATAATTTTGAGAATTTAGACAAAATGTCAAGTTAATTAATTAATTTACTTAGGCAATGGTGTTGTAATTAAGTAAGAATATTAAAGCAAATAATATGTTGAAGGAAGTTTAAGATTGTTCTCGGCAACGAGAAACCCATTAAACGTTAAAATAGCAGTTATGTTAATATGGCAGTTATTGCCATATGACGGTTTTGCTTGGTAAAATATTTATTTATTTAGTTTTGATCCGAATGAAGATGACAAGCATCCAAGAAAAAAGAACAAAGAACAAAAAAACAAAAACACAAGCACACAAACTAGCCTAAACAACTAATTATGGAGGAATGAAGCGAGGCAAGGCCACACCCCTAATATCCTCATCTAAAATACAACTAAGCTCCATAGGAGCATTATTGAAGAAAACTAATTGAGAGTCTTGAACAACTCCGCGGTTGGCCAACCAATCTGCCGCTCTATTGCCTTCGCGATAAACGTGTGCCACTGTCCCTTGCCATCGATCATCATTTATAAGCTCTAGACACTGTATGCCTTACATCATGAACATTTTCACCATACGCCACTTGCTTCTTGAAGAGCTTGGATACAGGCCAGATTGTCCATTTGGATTTCAATTTTATCCATCTAAAGGTTTTTGGCAATTTCCAGACCTCGGACAAGGGCAAGAACCTTCGCTCTAAACGCTGAGCTATAACCAAAATTTGCTGCAAAGGCTTTGATTAGCTTGCCAGTATAATCTTTTATGATGCCCCCTCCTCTAGCAGGACCAGGGCACCCCTTGGCAGCCCCATCACAGTTAAGCACATACCACCCATAAGGAGGGGCGTGCCAAGTGATATTAGCTGGTATCTTATACCTTTTCTTTGCATTAGGACCCTCGAATTCATCCCATATAGCTCTTCTTGCTTCATCATATCTAACTTGGAGGAACGCATCAAAATCAATAGGTAGCTCATCCCTTCGATTGTACACAAGACAGTTTCTCCTGCGCCAAATCCACCAAACCGCAACCCCGAAAAAGGTAGGCCAAGATTATTTTCCTTCGATTGTGTCCTCTTTCGCATTCTCCATTATCCAGTGTTTTAAATCACCTTGAAAGAACCTGTGCATAATAGAATCATCTACCACTTTTCTCCAAATTACTCGTGCTGCAGCACAGTCTCGAATAATGTGGAGAGTGCTTTCTTCTGGAGCTCCACAAAAATAGCATTTGGGAGAGTCCGTCATGTGCCTTCGAAACAAGTTAAGATTCCCTAAAACTCTATCGTGGCAAGCCAACCATAAGAATGCCCAGATTCTTTGTTGAACTGGAGCATTCCAAACAATGTCCCAGCATTCATCATCCAGTACTTCCGTGTGGTGCTTCAAAATACACACAGCCGACTTAATTGAGAACTTGCCTTTATTCCTATCCTTCCAATATACCAAATCAGCCATCGATGGGTCATTTCTTACTTCATAATTTTGGATTTTTTTTCAAGGTACTTTGATCCAGGTAAGGGGAGAAAATGTTCCATCTCCATCCAATTCCTTCCTCCCATATTTCCCCTACAGTCGCCCCAGCAATCTCTATTGGGATTGGGTGCTGAACCAGATCACTTAACGGCTCATCAGTGGCCCTTTTATGGTCCCAGAATAATGTTCTTTTGCCATTCCCAATTGCAACTTTCGATCCAGCATTGAGGGTCTTTGCGTTCTCGGAAATGCCACTCCACACCTTCGAACTACCCATTTTTGGCTCAAACATATCGAGATCACAACGCCCTTTGCAGTATTTGGCCCTCAATACCCTCGACCATAATGCATTGGGCTCCGAGAGAATTCTCCATCCAAGCTTCGTAAGGAATGCAACGTTCGCTTGTTTGGCTGAGAAAATCCCTATTCCTCCTTTCTCAATTGGTCTCTGTAAGACCTCCCGAGATAGGAGATGAATTTTTTTCTTCTCTTCATCTCCTCCCCATATAAATCTTCTCGCCTTCCTATCAATTTCCTCACAAACTGATCTTGGGATTTTGGCCGATTGCATCGAATAAAAAGCCATGGTTGAAAGGGTAGATTTTGCGAGAGTAATTCTGCCAGCCAAAGATAGATACTTTGTCTTCCAACCTGAAAGTCGTCTATCTATTTTTTCACAGAGATGGTTGAAGGTCTCTTTGGTAACCCGACTAGTGAGCGTTGGCATACCAAGGTACATGCCAAAATCGGCAGTGACTTGCATTTGGAGGGCATCACTGATCTGTTGCTGAGACTCATCACTTACATTAGCCGAGAAGTAAACCCTTGATTTTGCAAGGCTTACTTTTTGACCTGAGGCTCTACAAAAGTGCTCCAAACAACAATGAATAATCTCTGCTTGTTCAACACTAGCTTCGGCAAACAAGATTATATCGTCCGCAAAGAATAAATTTGAAAGGGCGGGTCCATCTCTACTAGCATAAATCGGTTTCCACCTTTTATTAATGATGGATTCTTCAATTACTTGGTAGAATCTTTCCATGAACATAACAAAGAGATATGGTGAGAGAGGGTCCCCTTGACGGATTCCCCTACTAGGCTTGAAGCTCCTAGAAGGTTCCTATTCCAAAGCACTTGAAGCGAGGCTGAAGAGATACACTCCATAATAACTTCAATCATTGTAATTGGGATATTCATTTGAACCAAAGTGTCTCTAATGAAAGACCATCGTAACCTATCATAGGCTTTCTCAAAATCGATTTTGATGGCCATGTACCCTCTTTTTCCTTGCTTTTTTCGCATTGTGTGGATAACTTCTTGCACTATAACAATATTATCGGTAATTTTCCGGCCCGGGACGAAGCTAGCTTGTGTGTTCGAGATTAAGATAGGGAGGACTGACTTGAGACAATTAACAATGACTTTCGTAACCACCTTATATGCCACATTACAAAGTCCAATTGGCCGAAATTGGGACGCTAATTCTGGATTTTCAATTTTTGGAATTAAAGTGATGAGAGTATCATTAAGTCTCTCCGGGATACCCTTACCCTCCAATATAGGCACGCATGATAGTGTTAAACACTGTATTTTTAACAATTTTCCAATTTTTTTGATAGAAGAGAGCCTAAAATCCATCGGGCCCGGAGCTTTAAGAGCACCCATCTAGGGATGTCAATGGGGCAGGCCGGGGCGGATGTTGGCCTTCCCATCCCCATCCCCACCTAATATTTTCATCCCCATCCCCATCCCCGCGGCGGGTCCAATTTTCATCCCCATCCCCGCCCCACTGGGTACAACTCCAAAACCATCCCCGCCCCACCCCCACTTGGATATCCATCCCCACCCAAGACCCGCCTAATCCCCACCCAAGATCCACCTAATATCCGTATCTCAAATACACAATCTTACATAATTAATACGAATTATAAAATAAAACATTCTATACACATTTTTGTGTTATAATATAAGTGTCGTACAAAGTATTATTATTAATATTGTATTTCATGTAATTATTTTATAAATAGAATAAAAGTATGTAATGTTGTTTTAAAATATATATAGATGTGGGTATGAGGTGGAGATGGGGCGGGTACGAAGTGGGGGCGGGTGGGGCGGGGCGGGGATGGGGCGGGTACAACTTAAAATCCATACCTTCCAATATATAATTGAAACTGCTATAAACCACAAGAGTGACTAGGCCCCCTTATGTTCTTCAATATCCGTACTAGGAGACTATTTTGATCTAATCTTATTCTTTGATTCACATTAACTTGATGTGATATCCCTCCAATCCATGCTCATTTATAACTCCCGAGTCACAACCATCACTCATAACTCATCTCTTCCTCACTCACAAAAGTCACAATTCACAAGTCTACATTATCTATTTTTTGTTATTATATATTACTTTCAAATTAAACTAGCTATTGCTTAAATTAAATCACCCTCTTTACTCTGTATTCTCGTACATTACACAACCTACTGTTTGTTGAGTTTTAAAAATTGCAACCATATGATATCAAGTTACTTAAGTTCCTAAAGAAAAATTGGCTCAATTGATGCATACGGCCATACGGGAGCATGTATTTGGTTCTTATTAATTGAAGTAAAAACACAGTTTTGAGAGAAGTCATACCTTTTTTTGCCAATGTATCTTAACTTCAAACAACAAAAACTGAGGTAAAAAGTCTTTCTTTTATTTATTATTTTCTTTACTTCAAAATTTCAATGTTTGATATGTATTACTTTGGTATCCTTTTATCTACAATTTTCTTACTTTTACTATTCGCATGACATCACACTTTAATTCAGAGCTGAATAGGTGGGAAGTTTTGATGTTTTAAGAAATCGTTGGTGGTAAAATTCAAAAAAAAAAAAAAAACTTTAGGTGGTAATTGCTAAAACAACAATTATTGTAGGTGGTAATTGTCAAAAAATATATATTTATTTATTCAATAAATATAATGGCAAACGTGAAAATATTGTGTTGTAAAAAAATAGGAATAAAGGAAGTATTATAATAGGTTAGGATGAAAGGAAAATAAATGATGCTCAAAATAATGATGATGATTTACTTTAATATTATAATATGCTTCCTAAAAGAATCTGTATACATCTTGTTACGCCTGTAATCTCTACTCATTATTGGCAAATGATCATAGAAAACCACTGGGTTAACTGGGTGCACCTACCTCTATGTGCATCTAAGTTTTCTCTATTCTTTTAATATTGCACCATATTATGCTAAATTTTTAAGGAAATTTTGACAATTATCACCTTATGTTATGTCCATTTTAGCAATTACCACCTCTTCTATTTTTTTTCTTTGAAAATTACCAGTTTTCTATTTTCAAAAACATCAAAAGTTACCACCTTCTTGCCCCCCAACTACCATGTGACGTCATTTTGGACCCATTATTTCCCTTCCCTCCCTATTTTCCTCACATTTCTCATTCCTATTTGGATTTTCATCTCCCCTTTCACTTTTTTTTCCCCCAAACCACCAATAATTGTACGTCAATTTTGATTTGGAGGAGTGAATTGAAGTGTTTTTGATTGTTTAGGGGAAAAAAAGTGAAAGGGGGATGAGAATCGAGTTATTGGAATGAGAAATGTCAGGGAAATAGGGAGGAATAAAGGGAAAGAATGAGCCCAAAATGACGTCATGTGGTAATTGGGAGGCAAGAAGGTGGTAACTTTTGATGTTAGTGGTAATTTTCAAAAAACAAAAAAATAGAAGATGGTAAATGTCAGGGAAATGTCTTGATTTGTACTTTCAAAATATCAATTTTAATACATTTTGACAATTACCGTACCTTCCAATATATAATTGAAACTGCTATAAACCACAAGAGTGACTAGGCCCCCTTATGTTCTTCAATATCCGTACTAGGAGACTATTTTGATCTAATCTTATTCTTTGATTCACATTAACTTGATGTGATATCCCTCCAATCCATGCTCATTTATAACTCCCGAGTCACAACCATCACTCATAACTCATCTCTTCCTCACTCACAAAAGTCACAATTCACAAGTCTACATTATCTATTTTTTGTTATTATATATTACTTTCAAATTAAACTAGCTATTGCTTAAATTAAATCACCCTCTTTACTCTGTATTCTCGTACATTACACAACCTACTGTTTGTTGAGTTTTAAAAATTGCAACCATATGATATCAAGTTACTTAAGTTCCTAAAGAAAAATTTGCTCAATTGATGCATACGGGGAGCATGTATTTGGTTCTTATTAATTGAAGTAAAAACACAGTTTTGAGAGAAGTCATACCTTTTTTTGCCAATGTATCTTAACTTCAAACAACAAAAACTGAGGTAAAAAGTCTTTCTTTTATTTATTATTTTCTTTACTTCAAAATTTCAATGTTTGATATGTATTACTTTGGTATCCTTTTATCTACAATTTTCTTACTTTTACTATTCGCATGACATCACACTTTAATTCAGAGATGAATAGGTGGGAAGTTTTGATGTTTTAAGAAATCGTTGGTGGTAAAATTCAAAAAAAAAAAAAAACTTTAGGTGGTAATTGCTAAAATAACAATTATTGTAGGTGGTAATTGTCAAAAAATATATATTTATTTATTCAATTAATATAATGGCAAACGTGAAAATATTGTGTTGTAAAAAAATAGGAATAAAGGAAGTATTATAATAGGTTAGGATGAAAGGAAAATAAATGATGCTCAAAATAATGATGATGATTTACTTTAATATTATAATATGCTTCCTAAAAGAATCTGTATACATTTTGTTACGCCTGTAATCTCTACTCATTATTGGCAAATGATCATAGAAAACCACTGGGTTAACTGGGTGCACCTACCTCTATGTGCATCTAAGTTTTCTATATTCTTTTAATATTGCACCATATTATGCTAAATTTTTAAGGAAATTTTGACAATTATCACCTTATGTTATGTCCATTTTAGCAATTACCACCTCTTCTATTTTTTTTCTTTGAAAATTACCAGTTTTCTATTTTCAAAAACATCAAAAGTTACCACCTTCTTGCCCCCCAACTACCATGTGACGTCATTTTGGACCCATTATTTCCCTTCCCTCCCTATTTCCCTCACATTTCTCATTCCTATTTGGATTTTCATCTCCCCTTTCACTTTTTTTCCCCCAAACCACCAATAATTGTACGTCAATTTTGATTTGGAGGAGTGAATTGAAGTGTTTTTGATTGTTTAGGGGAAAAAAAAGTGAAAGGGGGATGAGAATCGAGTTATTGGAATGAGAAATGTCAGGGAAATAGGGAGGAATAAAGGGAAAGAATGAGCCCAAAATGACGTCATGTGGTAATTGGGAGGCAAGAAGGTGGTAACTTTTGATGTTAGTGGTAATTTTCAAAAAACAAAAAAATAGAAGGTGGTAATTGTTAAAATGGACATAACAGAAGGTGGTAATTGTCAAAATGTATTAAAATTGATATTTTGAAAGTACAAATCAAGACATTTAAAAAATATCTCACTTAACTGTATTATTCATTACGTATAAGTCACAATAGTTAGTCAAAAAAGAGAGTATAAATAGTGTGAAAGTCAGAGTGGTGCAACATTCATTAATATAACATAAAAGGTATAATGTATTCCATATATAACATGTTATCTATGATTTGAAATTACAGAATGACAGCTAAAACCAAGGATGATGTGGAATCTTCAATACAATACAAGCTTAGTTCCTTACCCAAAATTTCCTCAAATTGCTGCATTTATAAAGTGCCTGGGTATATCCGTGAGGTAAATAGAGAATGTTATCAGCCTTCAGCTGTTTCAATTGGTCCAATTCACTATAATAATCCATCCCTAAAATCTTCGTTGGAGTTAAAATTAAATTATCTCAAATGCTTCCTAGAACTTGCAACCCATACCAATGGCAACAAAGCTTATAGCTTAAGTCAATACATTGACTTAGTAAAAATTTGGGAGGATGAGGCTCGTTCCTATTACGAAGAAAAATTAAGTCTCTCCAGCAACGAGTTTATTGAGATGATGATAATCGATGCTGCATTCATCATTTACTTTTTTATGAGTCGTAGTAGAAAATTTCAAACTCAAAATATTGCTAGTAATGAAAAGATTACTTGGATTATGAAAGTAAAACAAGATATATTTGTAGAAGACAATCAACTCCCATTTTTTGTTCTTAACAAGTTATACAGCATAACATTTGGTGAAGCTCACCGCGAAACTTCCTTTGAGGATCTAACTTGTTATTATATATCTAACAATTCTGTTTTTGGAAATACCAATTTAGCTATTGGTAAAGAGAATGTTGTGAGAAACACATCAGGAGTTAAGCATCTTTTGGATTTTTTGAGGATTTGGCACTTACCTTCCAAACCCCTTGACGGTACATCAACAACTGAATCTACTTTACCGCCGCCAAGTGCTGAAAAATTGGAGGTTGCAGGAGTAAAATTCAAGGCAGGTGAGGGTAAACATCTATTGGATATTAAATTTTCAGATGGTGTTTTAGAGATTCCAAGATTGACTATGGAAGACAGGACAGAAGGTTTTCTTCGCAACATTATATTTTTTGAGCAATGTCATCATTTTAATAACGAGTCTTACTTTGCCGACTATGTATCGTTCATTGATGCATTGATTAACACTCGTGAAGACGTGCAAATATTAGTTCAACATGGTGTAATCAAGAATTTTCTTGGGAGTGATGATGAGGTAGCTAATGTCGTCAATCAACTCTGCAAAAATATAATGATTCATAGTCCTAAACTCTACTACTATTCTGATATTGCTGAAAAACTGAATGCGCATGCCAACACCAGGAGGAACAAATGGATGGCTATATTAAGGAAAGACTACTTCAATAATCCTTGGTCAATCATTTCCGTTGTCTATTTGGCGATTCTTCTTATCCTCACCGTGTTACAAGTTTATACTGGTTTTAAGAACTAATTATTCTTTGTTCATTTACGTACAGATTCCAATTCCAATTTATTGTTGTACAAGACAATGAATTAAGAATTTCTTTTGATGCTAGAATTTGTTACATTAATGATAAGTTGATTGAACTTTGGTATATGTGAGATGGTAAAAGACTTGTCAAAAAAAAAAAAGAGATGGTAAAATGGAAAATAGCTATGGCCTATGGGGGTGCAAAATTAGGCTCAATTAAAAAAAAAAAAGAATAATATGTGGAGTTTTATCATTTAATTTTTGGAAAATTTGAAAAATACAACCATTTAAAATAGTCAATTTTTACATTACCACCTCAATTTTTTTTTTTTTTTTTTTTATTTGTATTATACCACCTAGTTTTTTCCAAAACGTTAAAAACTACCACCACTTATCTTAGTGACGCTATCATGGGTCCCACAAACGGCCTTCCTTTCATTTTTCCTCTCTCTTCTCTCGATTTCCCTTGTTCTTCCCTCTTTCTATCTCTTCATCTTGCAAACTTGATTTCATTTGTCACTTTTTCGCAAATTAGGGTATTAAATTATGCAATTAAACCTTCAACGAATTGAAATTTCAAAATCAAGGGGTTGAACAAGCTTACTTAATTTGGGTAAGTGAAATCAATTTGGGGGGTTTTCTCAATTCAAAAAATTAGGATTAGGGAAATCAATTTGGGGGTTTTATCAATTCAAAGACAACAACAAATTAAATAACCCTAATTGAGGACTACTTTTTGTTCTTGAATAGTTTTATCAACACCATGGGCGGATCTAGGGGGGTTCATTGAACCCCCAGATTTTTTGAAAAAAAATTATAAGTTTTGATTTTTTCTAAAAAAAGAAATAAAAATAAGGTTACAAGAAATTTTTGTGAAGTAAATAATCAAATATGTAAGTCTGACATTGGTAAGGGAGTGACTAATAGAGTAGTGAGGCTCCTGTTAGATCAAGGGTTCGAGACTAGTTGCCCACATTTTTTATTTTTTTTTTATAGTTGGGTCAGTAATTTAGGAGTAGTATGTTGGTCCTTTTGTTAAGTTAGAGAGTCAAATGAATTTAGAAGTTAATGATTTTATTTAGTGGGTTTAATCATGGCCAGCCCCGGCCCTGAGGGTAGGCGGGGAGTGCCATGACCAAGGGCCCATGGCCAATGGGGGCCCAAAATAATATATTACCTCAGCTTTCATAAAATTATAATAAATAAATAAAAAAAGAAAAAGAAGACAACACTCTTTAATCCTTCGCCGTTCGCTTCACTTCAAAATTGTTGCAATTCCCACTATCCAATTCTCTTAGCATTAAATACAAGTAAAAAACTTCATTTCCCACCAAGTAATTAAATTAATGGGTCTTGCCTTTCACTCTTATCAATTCCCCAAATATTTTGATAGTGTAAATGAAATTATGGGAATGTTATAAGCACGTAAAATATTGTTAAAACTATTACTCGTAAAAGACTACACCAGTCATTACTCATTAGCTTCAATTATACTCGTACATTTTAATTATCCTACTATGACTGAAAATAACAAAATCATTTATTTAATCATCTCATTGAGTTGTTTGCCTGTATTTGTGTCCACTAATTGTGTTTATTCTCTTTCACATTCAGATAAAGTTTCTCTATCCTTTCTTTGTTTTTATCCATGGATGGTTATTGGGAATTAGTGTTTAATTTAGATAATGTAGTTTTAACTTTTAAATTAACAAACTTATGATCAAGTATTCAACTTTATTTTAAATCTTTGTAATTGAAAAATATTTCAATTGTTGATACTCTTAAAATATACTACGTATTATAGCAGTAGATCATAGTTACAATGAAACATTGCTTTTATTTACTCCGTAGTACACAGAACTATGTCTAGATTAATAGCTAAGTGTAATATAACGGAGTAATATGGAGTATGCAGTATATTGTATATATTGTACTAGAGACAAATTGTTACATTATTTTAGAATGCGGTTTTTTTTTTTTTTTTTTTTTCTTTTTCTAAGGGCCCTTATTTATGATTTTGCCTATGGCCCATAAAATGTCAGGAACGGTCTTGATCATGGCATTATACTTCCACTTTTTTAGCTTATTATTTGTTGTTTGTTAGCCTACATATATGGCTCTTGTATTTGGTGAATTAAGCATGAAGAAATATTATTGAGTTCCTTATTTTACTTGCTTCATACTTATCTAATATTATTATTATTTTTATCCTTTAGTACGTATTAGTTTCAACAATCCTCTTATTCCTCTACTCCTCTTAATTCTTAAATCTTTATTTGTTTGTAAATTAGTAATAATTAGATTAATTATTAAGGGTTCGTTTGGCATTGATGTGGTTTTCTGTGTTTTGGTTTTTTGTTATATTAAAATATATGATATATGTCACATAATGAATAAAAAATTATTTAAACTTATTAAAATCATAATAATTTTGAAAACTGACAACAAAAAAGTGGAAACACCTTTTTCTTGTTTCTTGTTTTTGGTTTTTAGTTTTCAAAAAAACAGGAAACTAAAAACCAAAAATGATACCAAACAAGCCCTAATTTGTTTAATTAGTTTTGATATATTGTTGAATACTTGAATTGTTGACAAATTGAATTTTAGAAACTTAGAATTTAAAATTTTTACTTGGTCTTTTAATTGATAATTAGAAAAAAATTTCATTGTCAAATTTGTGTTTATTGGGGACTTGTATTTTTGTTTTATGTGTAATATTAATTTTTTGCAATAGAATTATAGATTTATCATTTATAGAAGTACTAGTGTATTAGCACGCTTTCAAAGTATAAAACTCGAAAAATGCTTTTGTAGGTTTTTTTATTTTTTTTATTTTTTTATTTTGTAACTGTTTAATCCATCCATTTGCAATAAAAAATTTGAACTTATGTATTGAATATTTAATTAATATATGAGCATCGTTTGTTTTTTAAGATTCCGAACCCACAGTTTGGAATTCCTAGATACGCCACTGATCAACACCCTAAAGGATGTGGCCATACTTGCTCAAAGTGGGGTGATTGACAACTTGATAGGGAATAATGAAGAAGTGGCAAATCTCTTTAGCAAGATCTTCAAGCAGACAGTGCTAAAAACTTCAAAGTTCTATTACTCGAGTATATGTAAATGATCTCAATGCATATTCTGGTACTCAATGGAATAGATGGAGGGCCATGCTCAAGCATGACTACTTCAGCCATCCTTGGGCTGCTATTTCTGTAGTGTATGCAATTGTAATGTTGATTCTAACCGTTCTACAAGTTAAAACCGGCTTCAAATAAGTAGTTAGCTTGTGATTTATGCAATTGGAAAGTTGGAGACTTTGAATAAATGGCTTGTGATTATTGCAATTGTGATTTGATTCTGTCTTTGGTTTTATTATAGCTGTAAGAGAAGCAATGCTATGATCCATATACAGATGCTCCAAAAAAATTTCTTATCCATTTACTTCAAAATTCACAATGAGATTCTTTACAACAGAAGTGGTACAATATGATGAAGTGTTGCAGCAGGCAGCAGCATAACCAGTATATAATTCCCCTCAATAGAGGAGCTAAACCCTGTACAGCGTACAAATTCTGCCTTGCTAAATTGTTTTCGGGTGACACTGACAGCAGATCCTGTCAAAAGAATTAGTAGTTGTCTAGACGGAAAGCTACTTAGAGAATTAGCGCATATGGCTTATACTTGGTACATGACAAGCTATCTATTCAATCATTTGTCCCACCAAGTATGATCACAACAACGAGTCAATGAACATTGCCAAATAGAAGTTCAGAACTTCAGACAGTTGAAGATGCAAGACTCTCCAGTGAGCTCATAGGCAAATCCGAAAGGAGTAGCTCTTATCATCTCTGAAGCTAGAAATAGCCCCGTAATCAAGGCACAATAGACTGTGCCTCATTCTTGACATCAAGCTCTGGGTAAGCCTTAGCAAATATTGATCTGAGTCACTACTAATTTAAGCATCAAACAATCAATTCTATGAAAGGCAGCATTGATTATATAGGTAGCTTCGGCATTGGCGGGCTGTGCTTTTGGAATTTTGTATTAAGATTTAGGCATCTGTGTTGCAGTGATCAGTTTATCACTATTTTGACAGAAAGATTATTACCCTTGTAAATCATCACCAGTTTCCAATAACAGAATGTTTGCAATGACTTAAATGTGTACACTATTGCAGTAGATCTCCTTGAAATTGTCTTAAATGTGTACACTATTACACTAGATCTTCTTGAAATTGTCTTTAAAAGCTCCTATAAGATAAATACTCAATAAATTATCAGTACTTGACACTATTCTATGATTCCAAATTTCTAAAATACTCAATAAAAAGTTAATAACTCTTTAACCTTGGTCCCAACCCAATATGGCTATACCAATTAAGTTACCCTATCAAATAAAGAAGGTTTAATATAGTTTTAGAACGAGTTAGTTTTCGCAATATAATTATGCATGCTTATACCAAGTGAGACTTTGTTCTTTTGAGCTTCTGGGCTAGCAGAGCAGATTTCAACAGAGCAAGGAGAGTAGAGCAGAACATATTATTATTATTATTTATTTATTTATTTATTTTTTTAATCAGAGTTGAGCAGGCATAGCAGCGCAGAGCAGATTGAAACAGAGCAGCTCTAAAGAACAGGGCCTAGTGAGTTACCAATATAATTATGTGTGTAACTACTACAGTAGATCTATTATGCTGATATTAGTCGATATTTAAATGCGTATACAGCTATATTGAGAAGAGATTTCTTTAATCATCCATGGTCAATCATTTCTGTGATCTATTTGGTGTTCCTACTTATAATGTTACAGGTTTATTCTGGTTTTAGAGGACAGCTACTGTTCTTCACAAATCGTTTTCATGTGCCCTCGCTTATTTATTTACTGTAAACGAGTTTCAATTTCAAATCTTGAGTATCACCTTTTTTACACATACTACTATTAATACAAGTTATAATAATAACTCCCGTCAAAAAAAAAAAAGTTATAATAATAACAACAATAATAATGCATATTCCTCCTTGAATATATTTCTAAATATATTACTACTACACATTTACAGTATTTATTAATTTTTTTTTATAAAATAATTTTCTCTGCTCGGGTCACCTTGCGAAGCTGCGATCTACATTTCGATTTGCAATTTCGGTGCGTCCCTTAGCTTATTCCCACAATTTTCTATTCAGAAATTTTATACGAATACTATTTTATTTGCTGTAAATTTGATGCTATTCTCAAATTTAGAAAATTTTCTAAATCATTCTTAATTGTGAAAGACAGTTTTATCATCAAATTCATAAAATGTGAGTCACTATAAGTATATATATATGGGCCTATTCAGCTAGTTTATTTCACAATAATAAATATATATATATATATATATATATAGAGAGAGAGAGAGAGAGAGAGAGAGTATAGAATATAGTATATTTTTATACAATCACACTATATAATTGGTCCATCATAGTATGATGACCACTTTACATACAATATAGTATATTTTTATATGCGGTCAATCACACTATATAATTGGTCCATCATAGTATGATGACCACTTTACATATAAGACAATTAATTTAGTAACGAGGGTTATGTCAAATGTCAGATGGGTCTAATACAAGTAGATAGTAGTTACTCCAATAAAAAGTGGAGTTACTCCAATAATATATCACTCACAAATAAAATTGTATCTAGAAATCGGCTATGTCACATTGGTAAATAAATTGAAGTAGAAGTAGTAGCCTTTTCTTTCCAAATATTTTTTTCGGTTTCTTTCTTGTTAACTTGTAACTTTAGCTACATTTCTCAACACATAAATTCATTTACAGATCAACAAGAAAAAATTTATAAAAAATTTCATACTTTCAAAACCATATTTTCATATGAATCTAATAGAACACAGCAATATATATATATATATATATATATATATATATATATATATATATATATATATATATATATATATATATATATATATATACATACATCATAAAAGATGGTGGTAAATTGAGACATGTGAATTAATACGAACTTCCTTTTTTTAATTGACAAGTTTAAACTTTTAACACATAATATCCTACCTTGTAAATAATTTTAAAAAACTCTTATAAATAATGTATATGGACATTTATATCTCTTTTGATTTCAAAAGTTTTAAATTGGTCTCTTGAATTCCCTAAATTGATTTTAAAAGTTATGTTTATTTTCATTTCCTTTTGTTTTAATTTTTCTATTTAGAAATTAATTAGACATTTATATTTCTAGATTGAACTCAATATCTTTTTACTATACTTTCACTGAAAAAAAAGTAGCACAGCTAAAGTTTCGAACATTGCACAACTACACAACTCCAAAACAATAACCGTTTATATGCAAATAAATTTAATAATATATATGCAACCAACATAAGACATAAATGCCAAAATGCCATCAGTTAATATTTTTTTTCAAAGGGCTAGCTATATGGTGCGCATCACGCGTTGGAATCTCTAGTAGTGTTAAAATTTTAAACTTTCCAACTAAAATCAAAGGAAGTTGGAAGTATATTGCAACATTTGCTATTTGTGAAATATTTATTGCATAACATTTAATCCTTGATGTATTAAGTGACTCCAAAATAAGTAACCCCACCGATTGTGTAACTCCTAAATAAGGAACCCTTGAATAAGTAACCAGAGCCACAGGCTGTGGCCAGCCACACAGAAAATGCACTTAATATTTTATACTTCATATAATCGTGTTTAGATCTTAATTATTAGACCTGATTGAATTTGAACTTATCAACTCTTAAGTGATATGCTATCATGTTTGAATATATCTGAACTTATTAGCCAAGCTAGCTTATGAGTGCACTTGTGTAATTCACAAATGCAGGTGAGGGTTCGTTGTAGAAAGGTAAATAACAATGTTGGATCAAGTATATGACGAGATAGCAATTTCAATGGAAGAAAAGGTGAACTCCTTATCAAATGGTTATTCCAGCAAGTGTTGCATTAATAAGATTCCAGCCTTTATTCGAAAGGGAAGTGAAGAGTGTTATCAACCTTCAGTTGTGTCAATTGGTCCCATCTACTACGATCATCCATCTCTTAAAACGATCCAAGACCTGAAATGGATTTACTTGAAAAACTTCCTACAACATCCCTCAAATGATAATCCTAGTTTGAAGGATTATACCAAATTTGTGAGAGACCATGAAAGCGCAATCTATGAGTGTTTTGACCTACATAATGTAGGAGGCAAGCACGACAACAATGTCGAAGTAACAGTGCATGATCCTTACCGGAAATGTTATGAACAACATATAGTAGAACAAATCCGTCCTGATAAATTTATCGAAATGATGGTGCTTGATGCTGCATTCATCGTTTACTTATTCATAAGTAATAGCGATTTGGACTCAAGTACAATCTCCATACCAAAGAGCCAACAAGGACTAGTGCCTTACCTGGTTAAAGATTTGTTTCTACTAGAGAACCAACTTCCTTTTTTTGTTATCCAAGGTTTCTTTGACATAGCATTTGGTAATCCCAACGATCCACCTAGTAAATTTATTCACATTATTCTTAATAACCTTATTAGCATTACTAGTTTCCCAGGATATAAGGTTATGAAGAGAGTTGTTGATAATAAGGAAATTATTGATGCATCAACTACAATGCATTTATTGGATCTTTTGAGGAAGTGTTGCTGCTTACATTCAAACTTATCGCCAATAAATCGAGAAAGCCGAAAAGATAAATGTTATCCAAGGACAGCCAAGAAACTAAGCGACAATGGAGTAAAATTTGAGGTACGCGAAAGTGAGTGTCCATTGCACATCACATTTAAGAAGGGGAAGTTGATGATTCCAGAATTTGTTCTAGATACTGACACTGAACCTTATTTGCGGAACCTCCTATACTTTGAAAAATGTCATTATTCCGAGGAAGATTACATCAATGATAATTTGTTATTCTTGGATAAATTGATTGACACCATAGAAGACGTGGAAGTACTACAAGAAGCGGGAATTCTCTTAAATCATCTTGGCAGTGACGAAGATGCAATCAAATTTTTCAATAATGTCCCCAGAAACACTACTGTAGGAAGCCATTTTCATTACTCACAAGTTAGTAAAGATGCAAATGAATATGCTTCCGATTGTTGGAATCAATCCAAGGCTATTTTAAGGAACAAATACTTCCACCATCCATGGGCAATTATATCTGTCATTGCTGCAATCATACTTTTTATTCTTAGTCTCTTACAAACTATTAGTGGTTTCACCAAGTAAAAATCTTGCTCTATCCATCTTGTAATAAATCTTTTTTTTTTGTTGGCTGTAAAATGTACTATATTAGTGTCACTTTCATTATATAAACTCCATATACATATTGTGTACGGTTTGAATGTGATTTTTAAATGAAGATATAAGAAGTTGTAACTACTATGGTAGTTAGTGGAAGATAATACACTACAAGAAAAAATGCAAATACTATGGCTAAAAAACCATCCGTAAAAGCACCAAACGGTTGGAAAAACGAACAAAAATACATTTAGAAAAAGTCATAAAGATTAATATTTTGTAAACCAGTTTTGATAAGATAAAATCTCTCAAAGATCTTTTCTATAAATTAAAACTTATCTTTACTAAAATTTTGATTTTACTTAGCTTCTCAAGCTTTATCATGTTTCTAATTGATCTCATGCATAATTAACAAACATCAGCGCATTTCTAGTGCGGCTGGTCGTACGGTGCGGCAAGGTGTCATATCAGTAACTCTTCTAGTAACCCCTCAAGTAACCCCACTAAAGTAAGCCCCCCAGACAAAGTAACCCCTTACCAAGTAACCCCTGACTAACCCCAAGTAACCCCTAACCGACCTAGTAACCCCTAACCTAGTAACCCCAAGTAACCCCTAACAGACCTAATAACCCCTAGTAACCCCTAACCGACCTAGTAACCCTTAGTAACCCACCACTTAGTAACCCCGACCTAGTAACCTCTAACCAACCTAGTAACCCCTAGTAGCCCCCGACTTAGTAACCATTAACCCAAACCCAAACCCACCGTAACCACCACCAACACCAACCTTTCTCAACCGCCGTCCTCAAAACCTTAAATTCCACCACACCACCACCAACTCCCGTACCACTAACAACCATTAAAATTATTTTTAAAAAAAATTAAATCGAACAAATACCTCAAAATAAATATTGGCTTCGAATTTCACTTGAAATATGGCTAAAAAGGCCAAATTTAGTCATAAAAACTCTAGATCTAGAGTTTTCATGTCTGAATTTGGCCTTAAAACCTCTAGCTTGTATTTCGGCAACGGAGTACGTGGAGTTTCTTTACCCCCTACCACTGCTGCTCCATTTAACTTGATTAATTGAGTGGGGTAACTAGAGAAGATGAAAATAGGAGAGAGAAAGAGGAGATAGGAGAGAGAAAGAGGAGAAAGGAGAGATAGAAGAGGGTTCATGAAAAGAGTGTGTTTAGGTGGGAAGAAGAAAACTAAAACGAGAATGGGAGATAGATAAGAGAGAAAAAAAATAAAAAACGAAATTATATTGCGGTTGGCCGTACGGTGCGGCCAACCGCATATGAAACTTTGTGAACAAACATATATTTACAGCAATCCTAACAAAAATAAACTTAACAAAAACTGAATGCAAGAAAGTACACCAGAAAGCACCATGTGCATGGTGCACTCAATAGATAAAAAAAAGTGAAAATAACATAATTTGGTTAACGAAGAACATACTTATGTTTTACAAAGAACATACCTATATATGTTTGATAATATGTTCTTTTATACTTATGTTCTTTACTATATATTGATTAAACATGTTTTTTGAGTTTCAATAATACAAAGTATGTTCTTTGAATTTAGCTTATATGTTCTTTGAATTTGGCTCATATGTTCCTTGAGGTACGTAATGAGTGATGCACACATAGTGATATTGTGTTTTTTTTATTACCATATATATATTTAAATTATTTTTATTATCGTATGTTCTTTAAGTTTGATCAGTGTGTTCTTTAGGTATGAACTATATGTTGTTTACATTATAACTTATGTTCTTATAACATATGTGATTTTGAAAATGAAATTTTGAAATATTTTTAGTTTAAAATAATTTTTGAGAGTGAAAACTAAAATTATTATAAAAAGTTGAATTTTTAGAGAGAGAAGAATTTTTTTTTTTGGAGAAATGATATCTATGGTAAAAAAAAAAAATAAAAAATTTGTTAATGCTTAAATTTTATGAAATTTTAACAAAGTTTTTATCACGTTCTTTTTCTAATGTCTTTATGTTCTTTGGTAATGCATGTTCTTTGTCAAACACTTATATGATCTTTTTCAAATATATTCTTTTTGCCTTTTTTTATCACTAGGTGCACCATGTGCATGGTGCACTCTGGTATACAGATCAGACATTAAACAAAAACCTTAATAAAAGATTTAAGTTTATTACTAAATTGCCTCATCAAGCTTCGTAAAGTATATTGGAATTTAGGTTCTACGCAGGCCGGGACTGAATTTCTGCTGTCATATTCACTCCAGGATCTTGCTGGAACTCGTAGACCACAAGTTCTTCTGGAACTTGCTATCTTCAATGCATTCCAAGCTAGTCTTCTTAGCATGCTGTGTTAGGAAGCTTCTCTCTGTGTTCTTGGAAGGATCGCTTCTAGTTCCAACGAGGAAATCTTCTTCTATTCTCTTATCTTTCCTTAGATCTTCATAGTCAGATTATTACTCAGCTCTTCCACTCCTTGAGTCAACTTCACCTATACTAATTCAATACTTAGAGAAATCTCATTAGTTGAAGTTGCTTTTCAATTATCATCAAAGCTACTTAATTAAGCCATTAAGTTTACCAATGGAATTATTGAAAAGCTTCTTCAAACTCCTTGACAGTCACAATTGTATAAGGTTCATTCTCACGGCATCAATATTGTTCTTGATCTTTCCTTGATGTAGTATGTTGAAGATAAAAATAAATAAATTAAAGTTATAGATTAATAAATAAATCTTTTAATCAAGTAACATGTTGAATTATATTACTTCTTGTATAAATTCAGTAAAATCCCTTTCTTTGAGGACACTTGAAGCCCATGAATTCAAAGAACTCTAGAACAAATTCTCGAGGACCTTGATATACGATTTGTCCATCTGCAACAAGAATTATATCATCGAAGAAGAATATGTCTTAGGAGTGGGATAAAGGATAGAAATGAGAGCAGTTCCTATCACAATATGGATAGAATGCCTGATTGAGTTCACAATCTAATATGTTGTAGATATTTTATCCATGAAAAGTGCTTTTACTGGCCCTACCAATCATGTATCAGCAAATTACAAATGCCAACTAATTTATATGTTGCAGAATACCAAAAAATTGACAAAATCAAAGGTCATCAAGGAGATAGAAAAATTCAAAGATCATCAAGGAGAGAAAAAATTGTTAGCAGTGAATGCTGAATAGTCTTTACTCATGCCAGTGGTAACTTTTTTGTCCTCCAGAAAGGCCCCTAATTATCATTTATTTTCCTACCATAGTATCAGCACATATATCAAGTTTTAAAATCTGTATCAGCGGACAAAGCCCAAATGATCATATTTTGATCAAGTTAATAAAAATTACATGGGTATCAGACAAATGCTAAGGCCGAGCTAATAGCTTGAGAATGTAATCAGTGACTACACTCGCTTCCTACTCCTCCATTGTTGCTGCCTAATGATCAAAACAAAGAAACTTAAGATAGTCAAATTCTTATAAGACGGTTTGATATGCTTTTGGTGCAAAACAAATAACAAGATAATTGATTGTAGCAAAAGAAAAGAAATATTTCCCATGTTCCCACGAAAATGAGGTATATGTCAACTTTCTTACCTTTATATATGAAGACATCAATATCAGCATATCTATATATAACGAACACTGATTAGTTTTGATACTGCCAAGTTGTTTTGGAAAATGATCATTGCTAACATCATAAGCTAACCATAATTTGTTCAACCCCTAAACTCTTGCTGAAGGCTAGTTTCTCTTACCGACATCTTTTCAAGGTAAAGATCACGTTGACTTATATATGCTGAACTCCTTTGTGGTACAAACTAATTTGCAAAGTTATCAGCCAACATTAAGACAAAATTTTATGTATGGAATCGAGATAGGGCTATACAAACATTGAAAAAACAAATTAAATAGAAACAAACACAAAAATAAGCAAACTTAACAAATCACACAAGTTAAACACAAATGTAACAAGAAATTTACCTTAAACTAATTCACTTGCTGAGAAATAATCTATACACAACAGGAGCATCTTCCACTAAATTGATCTCTCCTTCTTTTAGAGGATCGATGATGTCTTCATCATGGAAAAAATCTTTTCAATTTTTTTTTTTAATCATTTTCATTATCTATTAACAATTCATTTCTTTTTTGCCAATTCATCATTAGTGTTTTTACCTTATTTTCTAATGCTACGAAAGACGATCCAGTAATATCAATTAATGTTGGTTTAACAACTTTGTTGGAAAGTGTAACTAGACGAACACTATCGGATGTGAGCATAATGAAGATATGTGTTGATCTTTTCCGTTCATCAATGTTGTTCTTGCTCGGATTGCAAAATACATTGAAAACCCCTCCAAATTGACACTAAACTGCCATGCATCAATCCAATTTAATATCTCATGAGCCAAACAAATACGAATTTACCTTATCATACAAAAAAAGAAGGGTACGACCATTCATTGTCAGTAATACTACAAAATGATTGTTGTGTTTCGATTATGTTTTTTGCCTTCATCCCTCTCCTTCTCAATGCCTCCAAATTTTGCTTTTCCATTATTTACACAAATTAATTAAAACAAAATTATTTATATTTTAACAAATTACGTGAAATTAATTAAAAATATAATAAATACATAAAATTACATAATTATTATTATATTGCACATATAGTTCATTAATATAGTGTATTGATACATTACTTAAAATTTGTATATTATTATTCTCATATTAAATAATTTAATCTTCGCACCTTAAATAAGAATTCAACTTGTCAATGGGTAAATAAATATACAAATATAAAAAACAAAATTGTATTATCGACCAATCTCATCGAAACCACAATAAATTTACAGAAGTATTCTTGGGTGTCGACCTTATTTCTTGCTCTCAACCCTCTTCCTCTCCATCAGGTACTCCAAATTCAATTCGAGTTGTTCTAACTATTCTCCAAGATTCATGTTTATCCTCTAATTCTGGATTATCCTTACTGTTAGTATTAAGAAGAATTTGATCATGACATTCTGTTTCCAAAGGAATTTGAGGGGGGACAGCTATCCCCCACTTTAAAAAAAAAAAAAAAAAAAGTCAGTCAGTTTAATTACATATAAATCTTATTTCTTGCGCAATGATTTAGTGTACAGTTAAGAAAACCAAAAAATAAGAAATGCAGCCTTCATAATTTTTTTTTTTACTTAAATAAAAATACAGCATAAATTAACATAATTTTGCTTAAGATGTGAACTAATAGAAAAAAAAAATGTGGGCAGATGATTAACCTAAAAAAGGCCCTTTTATACAAATTTATTTATTCTAATATTGCTGAATAATTAAATATACATGCCAACCTGTACATATTATGGAAAGACTACTCCAATCTTCCTTGGTCAATCATTTCCATTGTCTATGTGACTATTCTTCTTATCCTCACTGTGTTACAAATTTGTACTGGTTTTAAGCATTGATTACTCTTTGTTCATCTAAATTCAATGAATTAGCTTCTACTTAAAGATTCCATAATCCAACTCATTACTGTACAAGACAATTAAAATTTCTTTTGGTGCTTTAAATTTATTGCTAGTTGTTATATTAGTGATATGTTAATTGAACTTAGGTACATGTTAACTAGTCAAAGGCAGATCCAAAACGTAGCTATGAGGGTGCAAAATTAGGCTCAATAAAATTATTTAAAAAAAAATCGGAATAATATATAATTGGTATACACTAGACCCTAGTGTAGGTAGGGATACCTACACCCCCTCTAAATGATGCGTTTATCATGTTACCCACATCCCATAACCCACTAACCTACTGTAACTACCCACCATTCTCTCTAAAACCTTCTTCTTCATTTCTCTAGACTTTCTCTCTCATCAAAACCAGAAAATATGAACCAAAATTGCTTCAAAATACTACGAAATTGCTTCAAAATACTACGAAATTGCTTCAAAATATTGCTAAATTCCTTCAAATGTCTACATTTGCGAAGAAATTCAACAATCGCAACAACATTCACAGAAAGAGTAAGTAATTTTACTAAAAAATTTTGTATGAACCTATTTTTTCTACTACGTATTTCATTTTGAAATTACATGTTCAGAAACATAATCTAACTTGATTAGAACTATTTTATGCAAAAATCATTAAAATCTACTATGTTTTGTGTTTTTTTTTTTACAGAACCGAAAAATATATTTCGAATTAGAGAGATAAAGAGAATGAGGATTCAGAGAAGAATCCTGTTCGTTGAACATAACAAGGCATAGTCTGAAGAAACGTAAGTATTATTTCAAAAACCTATTTAAACAAGAGTAGAAAAATTTTTTAAAAAAAAAACAACGAACAAAAGTCTCAAGTTGTAGATCTAGAACTTTTAAAAGATATTAAAAAGTCTTATGGTATAGATGTTAACATTTCTACGATTCCGAGTTAATATACGAACATATATAGAATTATAAATGTTCATTTGTATATTTGAATTTATTTGAGTTTATATTTGACTTTATATGCCTAAATAAATAATGTTCATTTTTATGATATGTTATGCACATTTATGAAATGCATAAATAATCATTCATTTGAGTTGAGAAACTGACTTATTTATTCTATCAAATCTTTTGATCATTTATGAAATTCATAATGTTCATTTACATATAAAGTAATGTTCATTTTAAAATATATGTTAATATTGGTTCATTTCAGTTTACATATATATTTATATGCCTAAATAACGAATGTTCATTTCTTTTATACATTATCCTCATGTATAATATTGATAATGTTCATTTGTATGCATTAAAACTAATATCTTACAACTAATCTAGCTATATTGTAGTGATGTCCAAAGTTACATATTTGATATAAATTTGCACATGGAATTGAAGAATACGTAGTTGTTTTGGAGAAGATAAAATGGCTTAACAACGCTGATTATACAAACTGCGGAGTATACATTATGAAGCATATAGAAACATTCACTACTAAACTTAATGAGAGTTAGATTTGTGATTTGAAACCAAATAGTGTAAAAGTGATAAATGTACAATAATGTAAGATATATTGTTCATTTATAAAGTAGTGTATATAATAATTAACATTTGTTAATTCATTTTGTTCAACAGGTGAACCAAATTAGGAAGCAAGGATGCGGAACTGATGCTATTTGAAGAAAAACACTAAATATAGGTTAAATAGAAGATAAGCAAGGAAGTTTGCAAATGAATAGTACATGTTATATGTTCATTTATGAAAGTGTATATGTTCATTAATGAATGTGTATATGATCATATCTTATACTTCCTCCGTTTCTTTTTACTTGCAACACAGCCTTGTGGCACGTGTTTTGAGGTCGGGTTTATGTAATGTAAACGGATAAATTATTCATTATAATTTTTACAAATGATACTTAACCCTATTCTAATCTTCGTGTAAAAATTATATTGATAAAATAGCTCGTTTACCCTCACTAATCATCTCCTAAAATTGCGTGCCTAAAAGGTGTGTTGCAAGTAAAAGAAAACGAAGGAAGTATATAGTTTTATAGATGATTTTTTTTGGAGGAAAATAGACTTATAGATTTTATTTGTTAAAAAAATTATTGGAATTGATATTTCATTTTAATCTTTATTTGTATGAAAAAAAATATATAATTTTTAGGTTTTATGAATTGGTTGTTGGTTCTTTACTTTTGTTCATTTTCAAATTGATAAATAATCATTTACATATGTTGAATTTAAAAAAAAAACAATATACTAAAAAAGGTATTATATAGAAACAAATTCTTATGTCTTTAACACTTGAAGAACTTTGAACAAGAGCACCTTGATCATTTATTGGAACCGTGGGAGGAATAACTTAAACATTTGTCGATTGAACATTTCTGGAATGGGGTTTAAACATTTCTGGATTGAAGTTTGAACAATCCTGAGTTGAAGTTGGAACAATGCCAAGAACTACGGGTGGAACAAAATATCTAGTTTGAGATTTTGTAAACGCATTAGTACTCTTGGATTAACTTGAGCATCATTTTTAACACCAGCACCACCTTTATTTATAGGAACATTACATTGAGCTTGAGCAGCAGAAACACCAGCAACACTTTTATTTATAGGAATATTTAAATCCTTCGACTGCAAAACAAATTAAATGATCATATTAAAATATATAAATGTTCAATTACAAACACTTAAATAAACAGATAAGAAAAACAAAACTTTAGCAAGATATGAAATATCAGCTTTTTTTCCCACTGCACAAAGTTTTAATATACAATTATAAATGAACATAACAAGTTTCAAAAAATGATCATATTAAATCCTTTAAACACTAAATCCTTCGCCTTCAAATAAAAGTTAAATGATCATATTAAAATATATAAATGTTCAATTTCAAACACTTAAATAAACAGATAAGATCAAAACCTTAGCAAGATATGAAATATCAGTTTTTTTTCTCATTGCACAAAGTTTTAATATACAATTATAAATGAACATAACATGTTTCAAAAATGAACAATAATTAACAAATACAATGTTCAATAGCAAAATTGCACATGATCAATGTGGAAAATTTTGACACATAATATTATCAAGAAAAAATGGTAAAAACAAATAATCATATATGACATAAAAAAATTAAGAAGTACAAATGATAACACATAATTGATTAATTTTAAATATAAAAATGATCCAAAAACTAAATAAATAAATAAAAGCATACAAACAAAATCACACAATTTTCAAACATAGAGCAATGAAATAAATTGAAGCAGCGAAATATTCATAACAAAGTATGAACAATCCAAAAACGTTCATCATAATCATAATCAAATTTTGAAAATTGAAGCAACGAAAAGAATAATAATACATAAATTAAGTTGAAATAAACAGAGCATTATAACACAACAATGTATTGATGATAAAAATTACAAAATTATGATTGTAATTACTCACATTGTTGATGAACAAACGAATCAATCAATCGAACTCTAGAAGACGGAAACCCACTTTCGTAATCACGATCGAAATTAGCAGATGAAGAATCAGCCATTGATGATCAACAACAATTATCAAAATCGTAGGAAAAATAAACGGCAAAATTAGTATAAAATCAAATGAAGAAGATGAATTAACTAGAGAGAATGTAGGTAGAAAAATGGAAATTGATCAATTGAGGAGAGAGAAAATATTGGATTTAAAATCATTTATATACATAGCTTGAATAATAAGAAACAAGGAATTAAAAAAATAAATAAAAAAAGGAAAGAATTGAAGCATGAATTAGCTTGTGAGTACTCCCCGCAAGCTACAAAACGGCGTAGCATCAGGGGGTGTAGGTAGACCATCCTACACTAGGATGTAGGGTATAATTTTCAACAGGAGAGTTGGGCTCGGTCTGCGGACTGGGCCGTGGGGAGAGAGGCACATTTGTGGGCTGAGCAACATCAAGATGTGGTTGTTTGGGCTCATCAGAGTGATTCAAATGATGAATTAATAATGGGGATAATCCATCATCAAGGAAATCATAGGTATGAGTCTGTGGAGTATGAAGTTTTGCAAAAGGAAACACACTCTCATCAAATACTACATGACGACAAATGATAATTTTACGCGAGGACAAGTCATAACATTTATAGCTACAATGATTGGTTGGGTATCCCAAAAACACACAAGGAGTAGATCTCGGTTCCAACTTATGAATAGTAGTGGAAGAAAATAAGGGATAACATAAACACCCAAACACCCTAAGATGAGAATAAGAAGGTTTCCGTTGATATAAAACTTCTAGAGGAGACTTTTTACCCAATAATTTACTCGGAAGAATATTAAGGAGATATGTTGCCATTTGGAGAGCATGATGCCAAAAAGAAGGGGGAAGTGAGGCATGAGCTAGAAGAGTCCTAGTCATATTATTAATAGACCGAATTTTCCTTTCGGCCTTCCCATTTTGAGAAGAATTATGAGGGCAAGAGATACGGAAAGACAAACCATGAATTTTACAAAAATCCCAAAACGGACCATTATCAAATTCCCTACCATTGTCAAATTGGATAGTTTTGATGTTTCGTTCGAATTGGGTTAAAATGTGAGCCTTAAAAATCAAGAATTTGTCATATACGTCTGATTTTCGGGTTAAGGGAAAAGTCCATAAATAATTCGAGAAATCATCCAAAATTAACATATAATATTTATGGCCATTAGAACTCAAAACAGGAGATGTCCAAAGATCACTATGCAAAATATCAAATGGCATCATAGTATTAGAAATAGAGGAAACAAATGGCAATTTAATATGTTTTCCGAGGACACAAGAACCACAAAGGCTAGAACTAGAAAGTTTAGTACAATCAATGCATTTATTATGCCTAAGCACATCTAAAACAAGAGTTCCCGGATGACCCAGTCGATCATGCCAAAGCTTAGGAGAAATAGCAGCAAAGGTAGAAGGAGATGCTTGATTGTTGAAGGAGGAGGTAATAGGATATAGGCCGCCCCGACTCTCACACCTCATGATTGGCTTCCCCGTCCGAAAATCCTTCACAGAAAACCCAAAAGGATCAAACTCAACTGACACAGAATTATCGGAAGTAAACTTTCTAATAGAGATGAGATTTTTAATGAGTTTAGGAGCATGTAGGACATTTTTAAGGGAGGGGGTGGATTTGGAGATGGTAGATTAGTGTGACCATAGCCATGAATCAGAATAGTTTGACCACTACCAACAACAATGCCATTCCTAGGATGAGTGCTCAAATTAAAATAAGAAGAAAAATTACCGGATGAAGAAGTCATATGAGATGTCGCACCGGTGTCCATGTAACAAGCCGGGTCGGGTTGGTTGAGAGTCATGGTGTGCATGGCAGCTTCAATGTTTGTTGGAGTGTACGGGGGCTGCCCGTGAGTAGTGCCTACGGAATAGGCTTGCTGAGAATGCTGCTGCGGCCTAGGATCCAAAATAGAGCTAGTCCGATTCTGTTGAGATGATTCTAACCCATCCTTGTGTTGGGTAAGGACAAGGAGGGATGGGCCAGCCATTCCACCCCCATGGATACGGCCTAGCAGGCTGCTGCCAATATGAAGGAGGAGTACCTGACTGTTGGTGTTGCTGTCCGGGACTACGTCCACCACTGGTCTGCCGACGGCCACCCTTGCCGCTGGAACCACCGGTGTTGCGCCGGCCACCGCTGTTGCCGAAGTTCTGCCGGAGCTCTTCCCCTTATTTTTCCCACCCGAATTATTTTCAGAAAAATTCGAGCTATCATCAGTAGAGGAAGCCAACATCACAAACTCAGGGGTCGTCTCCTTAGCTAACCCGGCCTCTTCGAGAGTGAGCATAGATCGGGCCTTGTAAAACGGAGGAAGGGGATCGCTTTGACGGATAAGCGTACCCAAACTACTGTATTTTTTCGAAAGACCACTCACCAAACGCAATACCATTCAGCTATCCGAAACCGGAGCCCCAACATTTGTAAGTTGATCCGCAAGGGATTTGATACGCTGACAATACTCAGAGACACTAGGATAATCCTCCATGGTCGTAGTTGGGAATTCTTGTTCAAGGGAAACGGCACGTGAATTTTGATTGTCTTAAAATATATCACGCAATCGATTCCAAGCATCCATAGTCGTAGAGTCGGGCTCAATAATGGTCTGCAGCAACTCATTCGAAATTGTGGAATAGATCCACGAGAGGACTGTGGCATCCAAAGTAGACCATAATTCCTTCTCTTCGTCGGTAGAAGGAACCTTTTCCTTACCCTTGGCAGGGGGGATGATATGGTCAAGGACCCTATGAGATCGCGCGTGAATTTTGAACAATTCCGCCCACGTAGAATATTGGACATTGGCCATTTCAAGAGTAATGGGTATGTTAGCCTTGATATTAGGCACAACAAGAGCAGGATGAACAGAAGATTTTGTTTCCACCATGGTAGAAAACAGAGGAAGAAAGTAGAGGAGAAGAAAGAAAGAAGAAGATAGAGTATAAAACATATTCCTGGGCCTCAACCATCAGCTTAAGCTTTTGGTTGAGTTGGTCCACTAACATGGTATCAGAGCCAGCGTGACATAAAGGTCACGGGTTCGAATCTCATCCACCCCCCACTTTCAAGTGGAATATTAAGCGCTGGGTATGAGGAGGGCCCATGTTGCATCCACACTTCTAGCCAAAATGGGCTCTCGTGTGAGGGGGTGATAGAGTATAAAACATATTCCTGGGCCTCAACCATCAGCTTAAGCTTTTGGTTGAGTTGGTCCACTAACAATCATTTATCTTGTGAGTTATAGTTTTATACGTTAAAGTTGGTCTACTAATTGTCTAATATTATCTAGTCGTCGAAAAATGTATTGTTTGTACGAGATTGTTTTTTTGTTTATCACATGACCATAATTTTCATTACATATGAGTCACAATATACGCTTATTACGTATAATCTCATATACCCGATGCACCCTCCATTTGACCGTTTCACTTTATCTTTTGCATATTAAGTAGCTAATTAATAATAATCAATCAATCAATATTATATACTAAAAGACACACCAGCAATGACACGTGTCATCTCCTGGTGTGTCTTTAATTATTATTATTATTATTTTATAGAAAAAAATCTATTAATTAAGGAAGCAAATCAATTTCAAAAATAATATTATTTATAGTGCATATTCCATATTAATGTAGTATATTTAAAGTAAAAAGATTTCATAAATAATTTTTCTAAAACAGAAAATTGGACAACTATAAACCAAAAAATATATTCTTAAAAATATTTTGTGATCTGTTTTACAACAAAAAAAAAAAAATATTGCTTGGATTTTTTGCCTACGTTTATTTTTAATTGTGTATTAGAAGCTACAATTAAAATTTAATGTATTACATACTTTTATTATTCCTCGACTAATTTATAATTATAATATTTATCTATTAATAATGTATAACGATCACTGTGCATGGCACGGGATCTAACCTAGTTTTAGATAATTTGTAGACTTCTTGTTTCAAATCAACAACTTACATAATTTTTCTTACAGAACTCCTGGGATGGCAGCTCAAACTGAAAATGTGAAATCTTCAATACAATACAAACTTAGATCATTGCCTAAATCTCTATCTACGCACTGCCTTTATAAGGTGCCTGAACATATTCGCAAGGTAAATAGAGAAAGTTATCAGCCTTCTGTTGTTTCAATTGGTCCAATTTACTACAAAAAATCTTCTCTGAAAAAATCAGAAGAGCTAAAATTGAGGCACCTCGAATGCTTCCTAGAGCTCGGAATCCATAAATATGATGACCGAGCATATAGTTTAGCCCAATACATTGACATTATAAAGCAATGGGAGGGTGAAGCTCGTTCTTACTACGAAGAAACAATAAGTCTTTCGAGTGATGAGTTTGTTGAAATGATGTTGATCGATGCTGCATTATTTATCATCTACTACATTATGCTTCATAGTAATAGTCAATTATCCGTCCCTACGGATCCTATGGAGAAAAAAAATAGCATGGGTAGTGAAAGTCGAACAAGATTTGTTTCTAGAAGATAATCAACTTCCCTTTTTCGTTCTTAATAAATTATATGAAGCTTTTGGTGGAGCTGATACTCGGACCCACATTTCCTTCAAGGATCTAACTTGCAATTTTATAGGCGAAACTTATATTCCTGGGAGAGAGGCCGCGCTTATTGTAGGTAGAGAGAAAGTAAGTGAGGCGTCGTATATTAAGCATCTTGTCGATTTTTTGAGAATTTGTTGCTTACCTCCAGCACGAAATCAGGATTTTATTCGACAAAACGATGAAGTAAGGCTATGTTTCTTACCTTCCAAACGTAGTCATAATCATCTGAACCCAAAAAACAAAAATGAAGAGTCTCAATTTCCTCCTAGTGCCAAAGAACTAAAGGCTGCAGGAATAAAATTTGTTGCAACTGATAGTACGAATTTACTAGATATTAGATATACCAACGGAGTTTTACATATTCCAACATTGACGATTCAAGACACTACATAAGCTATTCGCTGCATCATATTTTTTGAGCAATGCCACTACTTTACTTGATAGAGTATAAAACATATTCATGGGCCTCAACCATCAGCTTAAGCTTTTGGTTGAGTTGGTCCTTTAACATGGTATCAGAGCCAACGTGATACAAAAGTCACGGGTTCGAATCTCATCCACCCCCCACTTTCAAGTGGAATATTGCGCAGGGTATGTGGAGGGCCCATGCTGCATCCACACTTCTACCCCAACGGGCTCTCGTGTGAGGGGGCGTGATAGAGTATAAAACATATTCATGGGTCTCAACCATCAGTTTAAGCTTTTGGTTGAGTTGGTCCTCTAACATGGTATCGGAGCGAGTGTGACATAAAGGTCACGGGTTCGAATCTCATCCACCCCCCCACTTTCAGGTGGAATATTAAGTGCTGGGTATGAGGAGGGCCCATGCTGTATCCACACTTCTAGCCTAAAACGGCTCTCGTGTGAGGGGGCGTGATAGAGTATAAAACATATTCCTGGGCCTCAACCATCAGTTTAAGCTTTTGGTTGAGTTGGTCCACTAACATGGTATCGGAGCCAGCGTGACATAAAGTTCACGGGTTCGAATCTCATCCACCCCCACTTTCAAGTGGAATATTAAGCGCTGGGTATGAGGAGGGCCCATGCTGCAACCACACTTCTAGCCCAAACGGGCTCTCGTGTGAGGGGGGAGTGATAGAGTATAAAACATATTTATGGGCCTCAACCATCAGCTTAAGCTTTTGGTTGAGATGGTCCACTAACATTACTGATTCTTACTTTATCGACTATGTATTCTTCCTTGATGCATTGATCGACACTCCTGAAGACGTGCAAATACTAGTTCAGCATGGAATAATCAAGCATTGGCTTGGGAGCGATGATGAGGTTACAGCTATTGTGAACAGAATGACTACATATATTATGATATATACTCCAAACTTCTATTATTCGAAAATTAGTCGAAAGTTGAATGCACATGCTACTACTAGATGGAACAAATGGCAGGCTATATTGAGGAAGAATTACTTCAATCATCCATGGTCAATCATTTCTGTGATATATTTGGTGGTGCTTCTCATTCTTACGGTGTTACAAGTTTATACTGGCTTTAAGGGGTAGCAAATGTATTGTTTGTAATGTATTTGTTTCTTTAGTACCAGTTTTACTAGATTTTTTTTTCTTTTTTGGTTGCATATTGACGTGAATTTTGGATTTATTGAATTTTATGTTTCTTTTCAATGGCTTGTACTGTACACATATATAGTATGATAGTTGATCCGTAATTTGAAGAAATTGCATCCTTTACTAGTGCAAAAACTAACATGATCAAATTATGGAGATAATAAACCTAACGACAACTAAGGACTTGTTGTCTTTCAACTTCTTTCAGATACTTATTACTTATTCCTTAATAAATTCAGATAAGATCAGACCTAATCAGAAAGATTCAGATCATACCAGATCAGAACTTTTAAATCATTTACTTACTGTTGAATATCGTTAATTGCGTATTAAAAAAAATTATAAATATTACGTTTATAAAAAGTTCCTGATGAGACGAATCTTACAAGATACATTTTGAAAATGTTTTTCTTTATAGATTGGTATTAAAATACAGTCAAAGTTTAGTCAAATTGCTAAGTCAGATCAAACCAGACCATATCAGAAAAATTCAATCAGACTATATCAGATCTTAAAAAATTCAGACCAGATTTACTTGTTTCGGGTGAAGAGAAAGTCCTAAAAGTATTTTATGAACATGGTTACAAGATATACTCCCTCCGTTTTTTTATATGCATCACTTTGACAATTGCACTATTCACAAACCATAGTTGACTTAATTTTTTCACCTCTAAAAAATGAATAAATGTTATTATATTATATATCATTAGATTCTTCATAATGTCAAGTTTCATAATATAATTTTGTTATAACTTTTAATAATACACAATCAAAGATATTTATGGTCAAATTAGCGTCTCGACAAATATGCCGGTAAAACTGATGCATATAAAAAAAAAAACAGATGGAGTATCATTTTTAGAACCACAATTAATTTCTTCACTATTAAAACAACAAAAGTCTTAAATAAAATAAACCGTTATTACATCGTTCCAGCATATTTTGAGATCAAAATGGCTGAAGTTTCACCTCCAACAAGTCCACGTTAACCATCTACGGTCAGCAGCGCACTCCTCCTTCCACACCTGCAGAAAGTAACATTGCAGGATTTTACAGTGGTCATCTAAAATACGACTACCATACATTATTAAACTAAATGGTGCATTGTGATTGGTTGAAATTTTACATGTCATAAATTAGTATCCGGTTCAAAACAGGGGTGAATGGATTAATTTCGGGTCGGATTAATTTTGATCGGGTTGATTCTAGATCGCGGCTATTTTGGTTATGTAAAGTTTGGCTCAATAATCGATGGCATAAATTAAGTAATTATATAAGTTATGAAACTAATGACATATTGATAGATGATGGCCAAATATATGGTCTAGTTATGTTTAGGTAAAAATAAAAAAAAAGTTTTTAAAAATTAATGAAACAAACAATTACATAATCAAAGTAATTATGTTTAAGTAAAAGTAGGAAGGCCAATAATAGGTTTGGTTTGATTTCGTTAAAAAATAATAGGCTAGTTTAAATATATTTTTGGTTTAAAATCGAGACCGGTTACAATCATGTCGAGTTGAATCATGTCGAGTCGAATCAAGTCGTGTCCAAACAAATTAGATTAAATTGGGAACTTGTCGGGTAAATTTTGGGTTAGGTTGAATTCAAATCGGGTCAAACTGGTGTCGATTTTAGTTCAAGTTTGGTCAATTTAGTGTCAGGTTGTGTTCAATCAAGTTAGGTCAAATTGGTGTTGGGTGAATCAGATCGACTCGATAAATCCAAATT